GCTAGAACCAGAGGTGACTTAGGGATGTTTCATGTATATAGAATAGAGCTGGGTTTTGTTTAAAGAGCCAATTTGAAAATAATTTTATAATAATCAGGGCAAATATTTGTGAGGCAGAATGTGATGTTTTAGTCATGTATACCTAATCATCAATTTAGGTATTCACAACCTCATATATTAACCATTTCTTTGTAGAGAAAACATTCAAAGTACTTTAAAAAAATATTCCCTGTAACACTGTCAAGCCTAGCCAACCTATTGTACAATAGAACACCCAAAATTTATTCCACCTAGATAACTGCAACTTTGTACCTGTTCACCAATCTTTTCTTATCCTCCCCTTGTTCCTGTCCTCCCCAGTGTCTGGTAATATTCTATTCTCCACCTCTATGAGATTAGCTTCTTTAGGTTCCATATGGAAATCATGTAGTATTTGTCTTTTTGTACCTACCTAATTTCAGTTAGCATACTGTCTTCTAGGTTCAGACATGTTGCTACGCAGGATTTCATTCTTTTTCATGGCTGCACAGAATTAAATTATGCATCTATATTGACAGCTCACATTTTATCCTGTTTGTCCCTTGAAGAGTATTCAGATTGATTCCACATCCTGGCTATTGTGAACCATGTTGCAACAAACCTGAGAGTACAATGGTTCTTCTTTGACACTGAAAATCATTTTCTTCTGAAAGGTGTGTTAAATCAACTGAAAGTTGTATGTCTGATTTGTTTGGTCTCAAGTCCATCATATGGCTTTGTACGTATTATATTTATTTTGCTTTTTATTTTATTTGGTACCTTATTTTCCTTTCAAAACATGTTTTAATGTTTAGACTTTTATTTTTATTCTAGTGGCAGTTTTACATTTTGATATAGTTCTGTGAATATTTTCTCTAACATTATCATTTTGTCAATTTATATAAAATTATAGTATTTTTTCTCATTTCCACTTCTTTCATTTTAACTGCATCATTTTTTCTTTATGAAACCTATTACCTTGATGCATTATTCCTTCACCCACGTCTCTTATCTTTGTATTAATATTAGTTCTATATTTAAGTATATTAAATTTCCATTATCTTTTGCCAAAGCTGTATTTCGTTTGAATACACTCACCCCAACAGACTCCTCCAAAAATATGTTTTATTTGAGGGGCTGCAGATTCAAAACTTCTTTAAAATAATATCCGGAGGACGTTTAGCAGAATTTTGAAAAATTCCTGTCTTGTTTTTTCCTTCCATGAGTTTCTTAGAAACAATCTTGTTCCAGTACTGCCTTCCTTGGTTTCTATTCATGAGAAATCCAATGCCAGTCTGATTCTCTTAACTTTTACAGTGAATGTGACCTTTTTACCTGCAGGCCCTGAGGGATTTTCTTCGTTTTTCTTGGATATGTATCACAGATGATTTTTTCAGGTTGCATTCTGGGTGCCTGGTCATTCCCTTTAGTAAATAAAGTGAAATTTTCTCTTATTTGCAGACAGTTCCTTCCACTTAAGTCGTAAATACTAATTCCATTCAATTATTGTGCTACTCTTTCAGAAACTATTACATATGAATTGGACTTTTGTGCCTGGTGGCTACTTCGTACATTTCTGCTGACCCATTCTACTGTTTTTGGCCTCATTTCATTTTTATTATTGGTTTTGGAGGAAGAATGTTCATTACTTTAGATTTTTTTTATCCTCTTTTCTTTTTAATAATACCTTTGCTAGAGTTTACTTTTTTTCTTTTTTATCCCTAGAGATCTTCTAGACAGGGTCCTTGTCCTTCTCTATGTTTGCAGGAAGCTACAAATTTTCCTCTTCTGTTCTTCTCACTTTTGGCCTTATATATCTCCCATTCACCCCAGTATGAATTCTCCCATTCATACTGGTTTCCCTTTAATAGCTCAATGCACACGTGCTCTCTGGCAGTTACACTGATTCTGGAGAGTTCTCCAGAGGATGTCTTTACATATTTTGGCTTGGTCTATGTGTAGAGTCCTGACAGTGAGTAGAGATCGGGAGATCAACAGCCTCAGCCTGCCAACATATGCCTCAGACTCCCAATTTAGTCCAAGAACATGTTGGAGTCCATTAAAAATCTGATTCTGTGTAAGAGGCTTCATATTTAGTGAAATAATATCCAAACTGAAAAATGAAGTAAGAGCTTTAAGTCTGCCTAAGTATGCACATACTAGTCCCTTCCAAATTTCAAATAACAAATTCTGACTACAAATACGAATTAAGCCTTTGTAGTGTCTGTCACAGATATGATCCATGCAAATCCCAGGTTGTATTAGTTGTAAAATTTTAGAAAATTTAAGCAAACTTCTCTGAATCTTGACTTATTTTTGTTAAATGCAACTCAAAACACTTCTCTCATAATTTTTGTAAGCACCACATTGAAAAATACATGCAAAATGAAATGTAATTAACAAAGTATCTAGCACATGAGGGTCTGCTATTATTTACTATTATTATTACTGTATTTCCAGTGAATGTAGTTGAACCCTGTTCCTTTGACTTTATTAATTATAAAAGCAGCTTTCCTTGTTGAGCTCCTGTAGGTAACATTTGTGGTTTATAAGTGTGATTTTGTATTTCTGTTATTTATTTGTAATAACTTGAAAGTTAGAAGCAGCCTAATTTTACAAATGAAGAAACTAAAGTTTGGGCTGGCCAGATAGCTCAGCAGACTAAAGTGCCTGCTTAGGCAGAGTGCAGAGGCTGGGGTTCGATCCCTGGTGTGTCGTACTGGCCCTGCCCCGGGGGCACGCTGAGACGGTCAATTGAGACTGAGTATGGTGGCACACACCTGTAATCCTAAGTGCTTGGGAGGCTGAACACAGGAGAATCGCTATAAGTCTGATGTAGGTAGTGAAAACCTGTCTTAAAATATATAAAATAACAACAACAACTAAAGTTTATAGTTTAAATCACTTGTCCTAGGTTATATGTCTACTTAGTGATAACAGAATGCTCATAACAAGATTTATTTGACTCTAAAGACTATAACAAGGGCTGGCAAGATAGCTCAGGGGACTAAGCATCTGCTTAGGCAAGTACAGGGACAAGAGTTCCATCCCCCAGCACCACATACCATGCTGGCCCCGCCCCTGGGTGTGCTGGGCATGGTGGTACACCCCTGTAATCCCAGAGGTGGGGAGGTTGAAAACAAGAGGATCACTATAAGTCCAAGCTGCATAGTGAGACCCAGTACCAAATACATTTTTTTTAAAAAATCGATAATATAATGTCTGAAGTTTTTTTTTTTTCTTTTAGTACTGGGGATTGAACTTGGGACCCTGCACTTGCCAGGCAGCTGCTTACGCCACTAAGCTATATCCCCAACCCCAATAGTGTCTTAACTTTAATAGAGAACCTTTTCACTCACTGCTGCCTCCTCATTCCTATAGCACTAATATTCAGCAACATACAATGCTGCAGAAGTTTTATTTCATTTTATTCATTTTCTGAGTTTTGGCCTTAATTCTCCAGCAGAAGTATAGTGTATCCTTTAAAAGATGTAATTATTTTGGAGTTTGTTAATTTGTTTTTAACCTCATTCTATTAATTCTTCTAAAACAGTACTAGATTCAAGTCCTCAATAAATGCTTATCACGTGATAAAAATCAATTTGAATGGTTTATGCTTATTTCAAGGAAGAAACAGTTGCTGATTTATCCATCTGTTTCAAATCCTTTATGTCCAAATAAACATGTTTTAAAAGCCCAAGACAAACATTATAAAGGGAATATGAGAAATGCAAAAGAATTTTAATCAAAAAAAATCAAAATATGAGAAACATCATACTTATTTGTTTTTCTAAATTTTTAAAAACAACTTTGAGTTATTTGAGTTTAAAGTTTGCAGAATCAACTAAGTACACGGATTTGGGAAGAAAATTTTCTGTTAATTGATAAGTATTTTTCTTATAAATCCCACGAAGGCTTGAACTATGCCAAGACAAACGACTGACTGTTCATTCCCCTGTCACCTGACACTGTGCTCCAGAGCTTTCTCTCAGGATCAAATCACATTCTGCATCAATACCCACACTCCCACATAATCACAAGGTTCTGTGACCAAAGCACCACAGCAGTGCAACAAATCATTACCTCTTAATATATAATAGATGCACAGATTTAAAAACATAAGCCCTGGCTTGGCAAGGTAACATATGCTTATGATCACATGAGAATGAGGCAGGAAAAATTAAGATTTCAAGGTCATGTAGGAAAACATAGTATGACTGTCTGAAAACAAAATTAAAAATAAACTCAAGGAATGCTAGTCATCTATAGAGAACAGGCTTTTGTCAGTAAGTTCATTAACAAACTTTTATTCAAATAACAGCAACTGGGCTAACTGATGAGGGCACAAAGGCCAAAGATGTGGTTCCTGCTCTCAGGAGACAAACAGGTCAAGTGCGGTGACAATTATACACAGCATGATTTAGAAATGTATAGCATACAGGGGGCACAGATGGAAGAATGTTGAAGTCTAGGTGGTGAATTATAAAAGGCTTTTTCAACAAGATTACACGAGTTACTTTTAGAAAAAAAAATAGTATTGAAATGAGAAAGGTAGCCTGCACATGACTGCAACTTATGTCAGGTCTCCTTGCCCACTGACCTCTGGTGCCCAGGTGTTTCAGGAGACCTGAGTGCTGTTTACCACTCATTCCATTTCTATATGCTCCAAACAACCTGCCTAACATCATCTCTCCTATTTCATGCTTCATTTCTTTCAAGGTCCTTTTTGCTCCAATGTTTCCTGTGGCCTTTACTCTGTCTCATGGGATAATCTCATAAGAAATTGACAATGAAAGGCTGTACTTCCAAGGATCACTTCTATAATATGTAGAAATTGACAATGATACTTCAATTCTTCAAAAGCCAATTTAAATTTTACCTGTTTCAGGAAGCAATCTAAAGCTACTGAGAAAGGAAGAAAATGGCCTTGTAAGAATTCAAGTGCAAAGTCAAAATGCTGATTATGATGTGTCATGTTGGATGATGCTGGTCTTGAAGGAATACTTCTCTCCTTCGTCTTTGATTCTGTGACTCCAGAGCCGGTAACACATCACCCTACAGTACAGGATGAAATGGCTGTAAGCATTCATAAAATGCAACTATCATTGAATCAGATCAGATAAACAGACTTTTTGTGCCTTAGTCTGTCTTGTATAAAATAAAAATAACTTGTCTCTTTCTTACAAAGAATGAGCAAGCTATTCTATCCCTGAAATCTAAGGTAGAAACAGCCATGTCATAGAATCTTAGTAAATTTATGCTGAATGAATAAAGAAGCTAATTTCTGAGAAATCTTAAGTGAGGCACTATATCTAAGGCCTTTAGAACTCAAAAAAAAAAAAAATACCTACAGCTCTAATGAAAATTAGCCTTCACAGTAACTTATCTTTCAATGAAACATTCCTAGTTTTTTTCTTTTTATTTTGTATTTAGTATACAGTCTACAGGGTGTACAGGGTCTCACTATGTAGATTGGACTTGTGATTCTTCTGTTTTCAGACTCCCAAGAGCTGAGATTACAGGTGCGCAAGCATACCCAATCTCAATAGCCCTCTCAGAGGTCTCTGGGGGTGGGGCCAGCACAGTACACCAGGGATTGAACCTCAGCCACTGTGCTCTGCCTAAGCAGGCGTTTTATTCCACTGAGCTATCTGGCTGGCCTGAAACATTCCTAGTTTTAAGGTTGTGTTTTACTGATATTATCCCTTAAGAAGAAACATTTAAGAAGTAAAGGGCTCTACTGGGATGAAACACATTGAAGAGAATGTAACCCTAATCCTTTTCAGAGAGCTTGTATCATTTCTAACTCCGGAATGAGCATGAACTTGAAAAGCATGAGCTTTACATGTATAACAAAAACATCCATTTACTAGATGTACATCCTACTATATTTCAGAACACAAAAATAAGTTGTTTTTTTTTTTTTTTTTAATGTATTTGGTTGTTAAAGGGTCTCACTACACAGCTAGGATTCGTGGTGATCCTCCTTCTTTCAGCCTCCCCAGCCTTGGGATTACAGGCATGAGCCACCATACCCAGGCTCTGGCTGGCTCAGCCCACCCTGAGGTCTGGGCTGGCAGAGCACATGGTGCCGGGGATCGAACTGTGGTCCCTGTGCTTGCCTAAGCTTGCCTAAGCAGGCACTTTAGTCTGCTGGGCTATCTCACTGGCCCAATTACATTCTGTTTTTTTAAAGAAAAAATATGGTTTATATTTTCTCCTTAGAAACTGGCCCAAAGTCATCATAAATTATCCTGGAGTGCTACGACAAACAAGGAACTTCCAAAGTATCTAAAGTGACTTAATTTATCCATAGGGATTTTGTATATGATATATTTGGTATACAGATTGCACCAACTATTGGCAAAGAAAAATGCTTTGGGTTAGAAATTATATATCTATATCTATATCTATATCTATATCTATATCTATATCTATCTATCTATCTATATCCATCCTAACCTTACACCACACATAGAAGTAAATCCAAGATATAGTAAAAAGCCAAATGTGAAGTGCAAACATTAGATTCATTTTAAAGTTTAAAATTGGGGTAAAATTAATGATTTTGAAGTTGAGGCTAGCTTAAATCACAAAAAATACAATGCATAAGGGAAAACACTGATGTATTTTAATACCTAAAATTCTTTTTTGTCTATAGCATAGGACACCATAAGTGAAATTAAAAAGCCAAATGAATGGAAGAAATGTGCAGTAAAGTGGTACTGTGAGAGCTAAATTATATAAAATATTCATAAAAATCAAACTAAAGTCAAACATTTCTTTTTTAAAAGATTTTATTTTAATCATTTATTTATTCATTTGTTTTGTTTGTTTGGTACAGGGTCTCACTATGCAGGTCAGACTCATAGTGATCCTCCTGCCTTAGCCTCATCAGCACTGGGATTATAGGCATGCACCACCACACCCAGTTTTGGTGGCCAGCACAGTGTGCCCAGAGTTCTGGGGCCAGCACAGCAGGCAGTACCTGGAATCAAACCTGAGTCCTTGCGCTTGCCAAGCAGGCACTTAAACTGCTAAGCTGTCTCACCAGGCCCCAAAGCCAAACATTTCAATAGAAAAGCCAATTCTCGGAAGAAACACAAATTTCCAAAAAATATATAAAAGTACGCTCAGCCAAAACAAAAAATTGAAGACAACAGTAACAGTGAGATACTACCTAGTTTATATCAGCACAGTGATACAAGGAATGACTGTCTCCCACAGTGTTGACGATGATGAAGCAGAATAGAAACATACACATGATAAATGGGAATGAAGTGATCACTGCTTAGAGGGCAACATGGCAGCGGAACCATGTATGACAGAGGTGGCCATGATTCATTGCTTCTTGCATCTGTACACCCTGATATAGTTTCATGCATCTTCTCATCGGAAGATAGAGTCTGTTTCCTACTTTCTTCTGACTCACTTTCCATTTTATTATTTTTACTAACAGAATGCAACAGAAAAGTTGTGTCAAGGCAGGAAAGATATGGTGAAGGTTTAAATTTTTAAAACACTTGATAGCAAAAGATACACTGAGAAGAATAATTGGGTAAGTATTCTCAAATAAGAGTATTCTGAGTATTCCGATGGAAACTGATCCAATGTCTTTTATTGTAGTATTTCTTTAAATTTAAACACTGACCACATATTTTGATCATATCACGATGATCAACTGTTTGTAGCAACTTAGTTGAAGTAAAAAAAAAAACAAAACAAAACAGATCTGGTCCCATGCGACATTTAGCTCTTCCCCGAAGTCAAGTCATCATAGAAGGTAAACAGTTTTGAATTGATTCTGGATGTTGAGGCAGCGCAAGTGAAGATACTCAATGAAAGACAACTTCTAGAGCTGCGTCAGAATAGTGTCAGAAATGATGGGATGAGCATGTTCTAAGATGCGTGTGGGTCGTATATTTTGCTAACGGTGATATGTCTTTTATTGTAATAAATTTTTAAAAATTTAAATATTCAGGGTATTTTTTTATCTGACCTTGTACTTGCACTGTATCACTTGTTCTCTTGCTTCCTGTAACTGCCTTGAGCACAGACCTGTTAAAGACAGAAAGGAAGGCCACATGAAACAGACAAACTGTACGCCATCTCAGCACAGGAGATCTAAAGCCAGAAAGCTAAGGGCACCACACAGCAGGAGCAGAAGTAACTACACAGAGTAAATCCTGTAGCCCAGTGGCAAATCCTTCACGCCCACAGATCTCACGTCCCTCAGAAGCCCACCTGTGGACACTAAAGCCACGCCTCACGTCAGCATCACATCGGGCTCCCATGTCAATGCGGGACCGTAACACCTCCCAGGAGCCCTCTTGCTATAACTAATTAAAAAGTCTTTTAGTACACTTTCAAAAAGTTCCTAAATTAGTTATTTTTTGTTGATTTTTTAAATACTTCCACCAGGTCTGGTATTCACATAAGAAAAATCTTCCCTTAAAATACCCATTTCTGAGTATTGATTCTTCTATGGCTTTTCTGGGAAATTCTTCGTTTAACTTAAAAATAAATGGGTAAATAAAATAAAATCCACTGCTGAGAAAAGAACCTAATTTACTAATATTTGTGTTAATATTTTCAAACTATCACAAAATATTTCCTAACACTGGAATTAAGTAAGAAAATTTACACAAATTTATTTCTAAAGGTAAAATTCTAAGGTTGGTAACAAAAGGAGGTAGATTACAAGACTATAAAGTTTTCACTTTTCAATCCAACAACCTAAGTGCTGGTAACGTTTTCTTTCTTTTTTTTTTTTAGGGAATCCACCTGTTTATAGCCTCCCAAGAGCTGGGATTATAGGCGCGTACCACCCCACCCAGTGTATGGTAATGTTTTCAAATGAAGACAAAATAAGCATTATGACAAAAGTAGCTGCCATTTATTATGATGCGTTAAGAACGGTAAGGACAACACACATTATCTCAATGTTTCAGCCATCCTAAAACATAAATATGGTTCTCCGTTTTACAGACAATGCCACTGGGATATAAGGAGATTAAATCGCTTATCCATGGTCACAGAGCCAATACATAGTGAATCTTGGCTTGAAGTAGGAGTCCAAAATGTCATGCTCCTAGCCACTATACTCTGCATTAAAAAGAACATGCAAACCAAACCATTATAATAATCACTAAAACTCACGAGTCCTTTGTCATATATTATCTTACTTGACTCCCATGTAGCCCCTACAACTCCCAACTTACAGAGAGCATTTTAAGGCTCATACCAGGAAAGTATGTATTTCCAAAGTCACAAAGTTTGCACGCAGCACAGCTGGGACTTGGGGTCCAGCCTTTAGGTCCCAAATTCCCTGTCTCTTCCATGAGGACAAATTGCTATATACTTTTTGTTGTAAAATAAGATTCAATCTATGAGATTGAATACTCCTAGAGCATTAGAAAAGGTGACAATGAGTACAAAGATTTCTCCTTGAGCCTTGGCTGGAACAAGCAGTTGTGGGAGCCACTTTTTGGGAACTGCTTTAGAGGGAGCCCAGACTTCTCTGATAGAGGAGGAGTCCAGACCTTTCTAATGGAGGAGGGCCAGTACCAGGCTCCAAGGTTCCTGAAATTAATGAAAGGATCAAATGAGATGGGAAAAAATGGATACCACTCTGGAAATGAAAAAGGACAGGTGAAATACCCAACCCAGTTCTTAAAGTATTCTTCCCTCAGGGCAGAGGGGTGAGGGCCAGTTTAATTACTAAGAAAGGGATTGACCCAGAGTAACAGCAGGGACTAAGCATAGAGCACAAAGGGCTCAAAGTAGCCAAATTCATTCTAAAGATGGTCTGACCTGGGGAACTCGAGTTCAATGTCTAATCCACATGGTACAAATGTTACCAAAACTGATAGCCAGAAAATTGGTCAAAATAATTTTCCCTTACATTGAAAGTACATCTTCACATAGTCTTGGTGCTGAAACTTGCATGAGAAACTGTCTTAATTTTTGGAGTCTGATGGATATTCAGAAAATCACAAGTGCCCTCAGCCATGACACTTACCCTCTATCATTACATCTGAGACTAGCACCACTGGAAGGTGGCAGAAAAAGATGTAAGCACCTCCCTGGGAATACTGTTACAGAATTAGGACACCTTTCCCCAGCACAAGAGTAACAGCATCTTTGGTTTCTAGATGCAAATGCAGCTTGTGAAGAGCATTTCCAGGCGTGGCTCACAGGTTGACCACAAAGCTATGTTACATGTCTGCTGTGTGGGTATTGGGGACAACTGCTAACTCACCGGCCACCTCCTACAGAGGCAGCAGAAGCAAGCTAGGCTCAGAGCTCAGCTGTCAAACGTAGTGTCAGAGGTCAGCATGGGGTCTCCCCAGGGCCAGGGCCAGAAGAAGCGGCCGGTGACAGGTGCAGACTGGCCATCCGTGAGCAGTCCTCTGCATGTATTACTGGGAAGCAGGTGTGGGGTGCACTACACAGTGACAAGAACGGAGGGAGGTGCCTTCCCATGTCCCCAAATAGCAACCGCCACGCTTTCCTAGCGTCCACTCCACCAGGGCCTCTTCAGGCGTCCTTCTTCCTCAGAACCAGGCTCATCAGACTCCACAACAGCTGCTGAGCCCCACTGATGATACAAAAGGCCTGAATGAACACAATGAGAAATGCCTAATTCCAAGCTGGAATTCATAGCAAGCAAGATTTCCACTGCATGATTAAATTTGGTGACTATAAATATACCCAGCCTCATAAATAAATAGCTCTAGGGGTTTAAACTGTCAGTATGACTTTCCACTTCTTTGCCTCCACCTAACTTTACACCTACCTATGTTTTGAAGTGAGAAAAAGACCATCAATGAATATCCTATATTTTCTGTTTTCTTTGTCATCAATGCAATTGGCTTCATTTTTGAGCTTTCCTGAGAAATTTACTGTAATTAAGTGTTTCTGGAACTCAGAATGGAAAATAATATCCATATAATTGGAGTTTGAGTAAAAAACAAGTTATAAGAATATTATTTTTGTTTAAAATGAATTTAAATTCAAAATGTCCCCACAATACTATTTCTTTGAAAAAAATGCTAGGCATAGTCCCAGCACTTTGAAGGCTGAGGTAGAAAGATTACTAAGAGACTGAAGCCAGCCTGGACTACATACAGAGTTCAAGGCTCGCCTGTACTACATAGTGAGGCGCTGTCCCAGATCAATCAATCAATCAATCAATCAATCAATCAATCATGTAAAAGTCTGTAATAGAAAGGCATTCATATTCTGAAAATGATAAAAAAAAAAAACTCAACATATTTCTGATAGAAAAACCTTTCTTAGGTCTTCTAGAACTTTTGCAGTTTGATATCGACAGTTCACACATAAGCAGTGATTGCTGAAGCAGGGTCCAGTAACCAAGGTGGCCACTTTAAGTTAAGATCTCTATGAGCTGGAAGGAAATAAGTTAGCCAAGCTAAGTTCTACAGGAAAACAGTTCACGTAGAGAGAACTGCAAATACAAGGTTCCTATGGGAGGCTTTTTTAAGGAACACTGAGATTGCAACTGAGCTCAAGAGGGGAAGAGCTGTGAGAAATGAATGATAGGCGTTAGGCTGCCCTACATGTCAAGGTCATGGCAAGTCTCGTGACTCACGGTAAAGATTTTGATCTTCAGTGAATGAGATGAGAAGCCAAAGCAGGCTTGCAAAGACATGGCATAATCAGATTTAAATATTAAAAAGACCATTGTAGTTAATAAGTAAAGAAAAATACATAGGGTCAAGAATGGATGAAAGGGACAGCCTCCTGGCTGTTACACTAACCCAGGTGAGAGATCCTGGGAGGTGGACTAGGGTGTGCTGAGTAGAGTTGGTTATGAAGGGGTAGGTTCTCACAGTATCTTGAAACTGAAGGGGACAGAAATTGATCAGTTGGATGGAGAATATGAGAGTAAGACAGAAGCAAGGATGACTCAGAGATTTCTGGCTTGTAAACAAATGGATCTGCCATTTACTAAAAGGAAGGGAGAGGAATCCTGAGGGAAAACTGATCAAGAGCAGCTTTTGTCCTGTTTTATTCCATAGCCTTTTCTTTAGCCCAGAGTCTTTCCTTGCAGTATTTTAAATGGCCCCTAAACTCCATGTAGAGCTGTTTCTCCTTTGAACAGATATGGATCTTTCTCTAAAATATCTCATTTCATAATTGTTCTGAATACTCTTTATATTCTAGTTACACATAAAAATTGTCAAATAGTTTGTAGAAGGTGGTATCATAAAACATTAGAATGACTCTTTATCTTGAAATCCAGCCACTGAAAAATCACTGCTGTCACCCTGTTTTCTATGCAGAAAGAGAAGAGGCCTTGAAGTCTCTCGAGGCAAGAAATTTGTGCCCCTGCTGAAGTCATGCTGAAAATAGAGGCCTCAAGACATTTGCTTCAAAACACGAAGACATCCCTACCCTCTCCTCATCCCATTACCTGGTATTCAGGTCACATCCAGCACTTGCTTGTCCAAATAGTGAAAGTGAGCACTGTGAAGTGTCAAGTAAGATAGGCTTGAAAATTACATATTTTTTAAAAAAACATATTGGAGTAAAGTAAAATGTATCCCTATATTATTGACAATTTCTCTTGCCTTCTAGAAAAACAATGAGATGGAACTGTTGCTCAAGTGCTGGGAATTTTGCAGGACCTTGGGCATCATCATGAGAGTGACTACTCCAGTGAATGACATCTACCCATTTACGACTCAGGAAAAAAAGATTGAGGGCTGCTTGCTTAGCTAGCCCAAAACAGCACTGTAGAGAGACTTATAAGAGATAGAGGACATCATCCTTCCCTTTGCCAAGCTTACAGTTTTGTTAAGGACTCCAGATATAAAGAAAGGCTAATTTAATGCTAGTGTTTTCTACACCATGCATTTTATAGACTTGCCATATTTATTTTCCCTGATTAATCTTCTTTCTTGTTATCTTCCTCCCCACCTCATCTCACACCCAGCAGCATTAGCTGTCATCAAAGGTATTGATTTCTGCCTGGAGCAGGCAGGAAGTGGAACAACAGTCTGAGAAAGAGGCAGAAGCAGCTGCTCACCCAG